TATTTTGATAGATTAACCATAGTGTTGTTTTTACTAGAAACTTAAAACAATGTTTTCTAAATATGCAGACCGACTGCTTAATTATCTTTGCTAAGGCGTAATGATCTCTTCATCTCAATACATCTATTATAAAATTACCTGATTTGTGGCTATATTTTAAATTGGTTAGTACTTAATTCTATAGTATATGCTTTCCAGCTGAATAGATCAGTTCATTAGGCAATTGAATTTGACCGTAAAAAAAACCAGAATCATTTTTAGAAGCTTTAGATCAAAATTCAGCTCACGATAATCAGAAGATAAATGGAGGTATATAACTTTTAAGTTATCTTTAAAAGCTTGTGAAAAATGACAGATTTGTTTAAACACGGTTGGAGAGTTGTCCAAGAATATACTTCAAACCTACAGGTCGATGATTTGAAAGACGGGAAGAAGATTATGATGTTAATAGTAATTTTTGATGTGTGATTTTCTTGAATTGATGAAAATTTAACACTGCCAAACTACGCACTTAAACAAACTATTTTACTAAACAACTGTAATGATAGTATATGTACATGTTTTGTGAGAGGAATGTGGTGTAGATTAATTGTCAAGACATTTAAACACAACCAGTACATTGATAACACCTGTAGGAAATTTGACAACAGCAGTACAGAAAAGGAAACAAGCTGGGCGACTGCTTATATAGTAAAGGTAATAGACAGAGGTTTACGATAATACCTTTTAAAAAAACTGCCCGATAATTTATTTTTGGGTTATAACAAATTTTTGAGGAAAGATTGGGATTTCATAGAAAGCAAGATTTCTAAACAATAAGAAATGTTGTATTTCACAGGTGAATAAACCATACATTATTAATTCCTTACTATAGCTTTTAATAGATCACAAAAGCCAATATTATGGTTAAATTGGAGACACATTAACGAATGTATACATCTATTTCAATTTGAATTTGAAGATGTACCAGTGGCAAGAGAATCATTTGAAAAGGGAATCTTAATTTTTTTTGTATTGGATTTACATGATTAACGGAGGAGCACAAGCAAATATAATTAGGTTTCAGTTGGGATATTGATAGAGAGACCAAATGAGAATACATGTTAATTGCCATTTGGGATCTGCTACAAAATTTGATTTGTATAGGTTTAGTGTGGGATATGTATCCAGGCAAAGTTAAGATTACCCAAGAGCGAGTTTACTGGTTGTTACTAAGTATTAAAAATACTTGACGGTGTTGGTAAATGTAAAACTTTATATAAAGCAGAACTATTTACTTGTATTGTTGGACAAATAATTTGAATGTTTTTCGTTTGTTTGTTTTCTGAAGTCTTGTAACATTAAGGACAAGGGAACGATATCATTGCATTGATCTTAGAGCTTCTGATGATGTATAGCTTAGATGTTGGTTGATTGTAGTAGGTGAATTGAATGAGAAGTGTTTATATATGCATGAGAAAGATTAACATGATCGTAAGGCATATACAGACGCCTCAGAGATATGTTTCGGGGATTGCAGTCCGCGCTGATAATAGCATTGTGTTGATTTGGTCTGTGACTCGAGCGATGTTTAGATGAACTGTAGTTTGATAAAACCCTTACATAGGTTTAACACTGTAGTAGGCAGTTTGTCAGATCACGAAAAGATTAAGAGTTCTAGATGACGTGAACTCTAAGCAAATAATAAAACAGTTAAAAGTTCTCTGTCTTTGTTTAAAACTAGGCGTTGCAAATCAAAACAAATAATAAAAATGTAACTAGCATAGTACAAAATGGAATTAGAAAAACAAATCTACAAATATAGCTTGTGAACTGAACGCATTATGCTTTGAAAATAATGTTCCAATAACGACACATTCGATACCAAAAGACCAGTGAAGTGGCAGACAATCTTAGTGGATACTCTGAATGCGATGACTGGGTAGACTAGATTTACTTCAATCTAAATGTTCAAGATATATTCCAAATTTTGATTTTATGGTACAGATGAAGCGGATGCTTTACAACAAAATTATAAACATGATAAAGGAGAAAACAACTGGGTTAGAACAATTTTTGAAGACAAAGCAAACGGAACTTTAAAAGTCTGTACCGTTCTTGGTGTTTTTAAGTAAACAAACGAGAATTTCAAACGCTTTATACATGGTATTAGCAATACAAAATATTCGACAGACGACATTTCGGCTACTTGTATTAAAGGGAGAGGTAATAACGGTTTATTTAGAAAAATAAACTCTGATTTCATTTAAAATGATATTTTATTGATGTGTTTTTATATTTGGAACAGGTCTAAACATAGAGAAGTTGGTAAAGGAAGCTGAAGAGGACATTGGAATTAGAGATTGCCATCCGTTACATAATAAAATGAAAAAATGTGTTTCTATACAAACAGGGAGCTAGTCAATAAACTTATGTTTGTAGTTGAGTTATTATTGTTATAACAAGCTAACGTATAGACTTAGGTGTAAAGATACATAAGTATAGAGCAGACCAGATAACAATGGGATGCAAGAGTAAACAGAATAACTGTGAAAAATAAAGAATTGGGTATTACAATACTGAATAAAGTAATAAACAATGTACAAAATAAAGAAATAACCTAATTACCGGAACATTTAATAGTAACATCATTTTCAAGTGAAATTTTCAGAAAAGGCGTTATTTTGAAATAAGTAAATTGTGTTCATAAATGTGTTTTATTTTAGATTTTGTCAGTTTGTAAGGACTGCCCCCTTTTTGAAATTACCTTGGAGTTTGTTGTTTTTTGCTATACTTTTTCAAGGATAAAGAACAATGCTCTAAACATTTGAAGAATACTGAAATTAATGACCCCCCCCCCTACCCCTAACCCGACTCTCTATTATTGTACAATGAAAAATATGAGATTGGGCTAGCTTTTTGGCAGCAGTTTTTTTAAGGTATTTTAATATACATTTCTTTCCGGTGAGCATTGATTTAGATATTTCATTTTAAAACGTTAGCGATTATTTATAAAAAGACTATCCGAATTTGGTCTCCTTATTGCTAGCTGAAAATAAATGTATTTTGTTTCCAAAGCAAATCTTGATTTGAATCGGTTTAGTGTGCGATGTGTAAAGATACATAGGAAAAGTAAGCTTTACTCACGAGCAAGTTGACAGAATTGTATTTAGCATTGTAAAAACAGCTGACGATAAAAACACCTGAGAGTTTCAGGAAAGGTACATCTTTATACACATCAAAACATGGCTGGCATAGTTAAAACTGGATGCAGAAATATAGATTCCACCACTGCAACAAATGTGTTACGATATTTCTCCACTCGAGAAAGTTAAATTTTAATATTCAAAGCCCGAGGCTTGCCGAGTTTTTAAAAAAAATAAAATTTAACTGTTGAGAGTGTAGTAATATCGTATTACACGAGTTATAGTGGTGGAATCTGTTTCTCTAGTGATTTTTATCCTTCCTTTTCAAGGATTTGCAGAAAGATGTGTTCTTTATATGTGACATCATCAGGCATGGTCGCCTTTTTTCATGACGTCGTAACAGGAAATTGAGAAGAAACCAAGAAAATGTTTACGTCATAATTAAATATCGACCAATCATTTGCCGTGAACAGATATTTCACTTATGAGGAGAACAATTTTTTAACAATCGGTTGGGAAATGTGAAAATAGTGAAAAAATTATAGAAAGACAGATTTACAAGTTTTAGCTTGTAATGTTTCAATATCGACACAATTTATTTAGCTTTGTGTATACAAAACATCATTGTTGTAATCAATAATCAATTTCATAATATTGTTCATCATTTATTTTAGGCAGTGGCTTTTCTTCCGACTAGCCGGAAAAATAGCAAAAAATGTCTATTCTTCCGGCTATCCGGAAGAATAGCTTTTCTCTACTATTATGCTATTATTCCGGCCATACCTAACCATGAATAATAAATATGCAGTTGGTTAAGTGATAATGGTAGCATCCAATGAAGAATGAAGTGGTAAACAATTTCCTCCCATGCAAACACTGAGAATTGGAACTATTCATTTTTTGCCCGTTCTCCGCACATACATTAATGATTATAAACTCAAGATAAAACGTTCTGGAAAATAGTAATAATGAAGAAAACAGGAAGACAAAAACAGAATTATCATAGAATGAACTCATCAATTACCAAATTTGATTTATTTTTACTACTGGCTGTTCTATTGAACACACAGATTCCCCGTAAATATAATCAGCTTGTCAAATGAAATCAAAAGAAGAATACCAACATCGATTGATATGCAGCATATACACTTCTGAATTAAAGTCACTTGTTTAAAATTGTACAAAAGAGTTTCCATTCAACAAAACAAATAAATTTACTTCATAGTATACAGCATATTCAGATTTTGTTCTATGCAAAGGGAAAATTAGGAGGGGGGGGGCAGAAATGCCTCTCCTCTTTTCATATTCAAACTATGAATTTCCTGCAAGGTTAGGAGTTGGGCCACTGATTTACGGATTCAATGGACATCTATGATTCCTAAAGAAAATCCATAATTTATCATTTCCTTGAAGTTTGTTTCCAATGAAGTCGTCAAATGATTTCGCACGATTTCTTATTTTAAATGTTCGGAGATTTTTAACACAAAGAAAATAAGAGAAAGGGGTAGGCACATGTAAATTGTCCTAAAAAGTAAGATTGTGTTTATGAGAGCAAATATATTACAATTTTTTATTGAGAAAATAAATAAAACAGAATTAAATAAAAAGGGGGGTGTTATCCCCAACCCTGGTATACTATTCCCAGTCCAGACATATCAGTGCATGTTCATAGATCTCCGTTGTAGTAGAACTTAGAAATAATGCATTCAAGTTTATTTGGATTAGTCGTTTTCCTGTGAATTGTTTTACTTTTCACCGCTACAGGTGATGATTAATAACGGGACTGTTTACAGTTAAAAAAGAGAAGATTACAAAATGAAATATTTACAGATTCTTAATTTTCTAAACTACAAATAATTTTTGATTCAGACATACCTTTGAAAAAGCTATAACACCCTTTTTAAAACAGTCAAAGCCGGTGTGACAATTTCTGTTTCAAACCAGGAAATATTTAAAATTTGTAGTTACAAAAATAATACGTTCACGGAAGAAATATAAAAATTTACCGGAAAGAATACGTAAAATAATTGCTAAATGATATATGGTAAAGTGTTACATAAATAAGTCTTGATATTCCTTTTTTTATTTCATTGTTGATAATGATATAATTTTGCTGTAATTAAAACTTGTGTTATTTAAATATATTGATGATTACCAGAAAACAACCCTGGATTTCTGGTACTAACAAAGAGGGAAGCTTCACGAGAATGCTGGACTAGTGAAAAACATTGTTAACAGCTGAAGTGCAATTTGTTGTTGAATAATAAAAAAAAAAATCAAGTGTTTTCAAGGGGATATGGAATGACATAGCAACATGATAGACTGGACTGTCATTAAGGACGCCAAAGGATGTGGTGGTATTGTAAATATCACAAGACAGAAACCCGTTTTGATAAGGTGGTCTCTTGCTCGCCATATTCTAGCTGATTTCAGTTCTGAGATGCGACAAAGATCTGGTTTCACTGTTGTTGCCGAACAAACGAGACAAAACAAACACCTACGAAAAGGGACGAGAGTCATCTAAAACTTCTTGTCTATCATATGCATCAAATAATGACAAACCCTTAGACTACCCACTGCATCCAAAACTCCTTATTTACATCTCGACAGGAATGCATGCGATAAGATATATCGAATCAACTTTCATCAATGCAGCTAATGATGGTGCCAAAATGGCAAAATCGTTTATTGACGGTGCTCTTGCAGAGGACCAGAATTGTAACTGTTATGGTCCGATTACACGTTAAAGTAAAAAAAAAAAGACAAACAGACAAACAACAGTTCACAGTACGTACACAAAACACAAGATAGAAAGCTAAAGACTTAAAGACGTTCAAAGATCTAACCGAAAAGACAAAACTTAAATGTAGGTCAGGGGGGAATTATTGAAGGTCACATCAATCCTGAGTTGGTCCTTTGTCAGCATTGGTGCTGGCAAATAGTCGGAACGATGTCACTGTAAAACAATTCCTGTCGTTTCCTATTGGGTCTATACCAACATCGCTTTTTCATGATAAGGGAACAATGAAGAAAACATGCAATGCAGAATTTGGCCGTCTGCCGGAAGTTTTAGTTTCAAGTATTTAGTCCTTTGATCATTTCAATAGATTTTCTACTATATGAATACTCGAGATGGTATGGCATTGATTCAATCTTTGAACGTGAAAAATTAAAAAAAAAATTTGGAAATTTGGCATTAGAATTTATCCAGTCCCAGTTTTCTTGCTTGCCAAGTACCGATTGTCAAGTCGATGTTTTTCGATAGGTATGATTTAGAAGTCAACAAAATTAGCGGAACGAGACTGAAAATCTAGTTCTTGTTCCTCTTTAAAATTGTTTCAGGTTCTAAAAGGTCGTAAGGTTCTCGGAGTCGGTGTGAACAAGCAGGCCTAAATCAGATTTCCCGGTGAATCGATTTTCCAGCATCATGCTAGGTCATCAGTTAGTGTCACTTGGAGTAGTCATTTATCTAGATGGCACTTCCACTGACCCTATTTTGTTACGAAAATCTGCTCCAGTTTTGAAAAATTATTTTGTATGCATAACGAAGATGACACTCAGATGATTTTATATGCTATTTATGCAGAAAAGGTGTTCGATGTAAAATGAATCAAGGGTCGGATGATTTTAAAGTCAACAGATACAAATATACTGATCTTATGCGTCTATTTTCCCTTCATACAGCACATACGCATGAGCTATGGTAAAAAAAAAACAATATTACTTTCACACAAGATTTGCACCGCTTTATTCATGTCCATAAATAGTGTAGGGTGGATTGTTTAAGCGGGTGTTTATTTTCGCTTATTTTTGGGAATTATTGAAAATCGCGAAAATAAATTCAACGAAAATTAATGCATACGTTCGGTACTTTCTAACTAATTGCTAAAGCGTTTTGTGAACGATCTTTTTTTTCAATCGGCAGGTCAGTAACGGTATATGTAAGTTTTAACAACATAAATACCAAAGGGCATTGTTCATACATGTATCTAAAAAATGAAGTCGCGAGTTTCTTTTTCACATATATAAAAGTATCAATCGTTCGTTGAACTCCGTGGATGAGCATCTAAAATTTCTGTAAGCATAAGAAAATAATACCAGCTGAGAATTCTGAATTAACTAGTGTCAAATAATATAAGATTGTAAAGTACTCTGTCAGATATTGTATCCTTATTAATTAGTTAAATTGCATAAGAGTTGTTAGTCCCTCTTGATAATTTGTACATCAAAGGTCCGGTCAATTTTGTGATTTTAAAACGCTGCAATGAAAAAGACTACGAGAAAGAGTTATCTTTCGTCGGTGTTCTGTACCCCCTTAAGTAACGACAATCCTTTAACAAGAACAATAGACACTTGTTTGATTGAATGACAATAAAGATATTCGCTCATAATTTGATTTTTTTTTAGAATTTCTTCCCCTTCAGATGTGTTATGGCGGAAAAACAGACAAATGCCAAATGATGTATAAATGTCTTTCTTCTTGTCAATTTCAACAACTTTTATAACTGTAGAATAAAAACCGCCAACATTTTTTGTATACTGTGTTGCCCCTAAATCGCCAAAAATTACATCCGCGAAAAAACCCTGCTATGCGGTATGTTATAGTCTCGGGTCTGTTATCTTTAACCTTCTACCAGCCGCACTTGCTGTAACAGGATTCATTTCAATGTCATCCCTGTTTGAGATCAGTAAGAGTACTGTTTGCAAAGTCTTAAAGGACAACACCATATTTCTACTGTTTGTCAAACCTTTCGAATTGTAACATCGATGAATCTGTTAATGCAGCTCATAATTTTGTTATAAGGTTAATTTTCTAAAGTTAAGACTGAAAACTAATCAAAGTGACTTAAACAAATTGAGCTACAATTAAAAATTCCTAACTTGCCAAAATTGTTCCTAGTGAATCTACCTTTATACAACATGTACTGAGAGCTTCACTTCAGACATTTGTTCGATTGTCTTTCCATATAGAAAAACACCCTTTCAGTCTCCTCTTCTGTTTGGGAAGAATGGGATTGTTCCTGTCTATTTCGAAGGTTAGATATCATCCCAATTTTTGCAGAAATTGATTTTGAACTTATAAGGGACAATATGTGTGTTCGAAGGGTTGCATATGCTTTGAACAAAATCTATCATGTACAGATGTATGACCATGTTAGGCAAATGACATATAATCAGTCGAAATGTCAATACTTATCTGGTTGCAGTAAGAAACATTGACGATGACGAAGGTGACGATGTGTATGAACGTATTTGTCCCTTTTAAAATATTGGTAGCGATCGAATGAAAATAAAGAAGTCAATATTATTTATGTATGATATTTTCCAAAGAATACATATGTACTATGTTTAGAAATTGTAAGATACATAGTTTTTTTTCTATCAAATGATTATAGAAGTAGGTTAAACAAAACTGTCATGTGTTTTCAGACCTTGACATGGTTTATGGGCTTTCAAACTAACAGGAGACCATACGAAACGAAGAAGCTATTACTAGCTTCGTTCGTCATTTCATATGTTTTTTGCCATGGTGTTGTCAATTTGTCTTCAACTTATGAGTTTTAAGAGACATGTCCCTTCATATATTCTTTAACTACAAGTCATTCATCTAACCAATGTCTGCTCAATTTATCATACAGATATGTAGAATGAGGTGATTTACATGTTCCTAACTGACATTTTGTTTTTATAACTTTGCCCCCTTTCAGGCTTTGCAGTACTTCGAATTTCTATATAGCAAAACAAAAACAAAAAACAAAAAAACAACATAAAGCTACTATTTGAACTAACTCTGGGTAAAGGTTACACAAATTTTTAAAACAAAGTACTAATGTATGTGCTTCCACACTTACCACGAAATTATATATTTACCCAGAAATAGACGCACACCTTCAATCAAAAGATGTAAAAAACAAATATTTTGTGTTGACAACATATAAAAAAAACATATTTATAGCTCAATTGAAACGAATATAATATAACACTTCCAAATTTTGAAATTATAATTGGTCAAGATCACTGCTTTTAACAGCTGATGAGTAAAAATTGCAAAGGTGCACCTTATATCGTTATAGGTAAAGATGTCATTATCAAATCATATTTGGCAATGGAAAAATCAGATATGTTCTACATGCCGAAACTAAAATGTTATTTCTTTTTATAAATTAGTCCAATTTTGTTTGCTCTTAACCAGTATTCGTAGGGACGACAAGCTATCTTAGTGTGACAGTGCGTGTTCCTGAAATTTTAGCTGTGGCCTTTGGTCATTAAAAATCTAATAAAAAATAATAAGTGACCATTGCTGACAATGACGACATAGTTATTTCGATGAGGCTTGTTATCTTCTTTCCAAATACATAACATATAGCCATGTGTTATTCCGTTAAACCACATCTATTAAACGTGTTGACTTGGCACCCTTTTATGTGGATTACATTCAAGATGAGCCAACTTATATGTTGCATGGCACCAAACATTTATATTTTATAAATGGTGATGATGATGATGATTTTAACGTTCACAAGTTAAAGGGCTTCAGGAAGAGATGTCACCATATCCGGATACTTAATTTTTACTTCGAGCCGACCTGTTTTATCTCTTACTCCTAAATACAGCGAATTTAACAGAGGCGCAGCATGCATCAATTTTCCAGTGTTTGGTTGAACCGGTCGGTGATCAACCTCACAGGAGTTGAGTACACTACCACGATATCACTGTGACGACTCAAAATATCAAAATGAAATTTTTATTGCACACCAATGCAACTGATAAGGTTAAAGAGAACATTTATATGTAGATACAAATATGGGTTTATCCTTTATGAAATACTCAAAATGTGGTAAAATAGCCAATAAGACTACTATCCACCAAAGTTCGTGAGGTTGATGTAAGCAATTATAGGCAAAAATACGGCCTTCAAAAATAAGAAAAACC